CAACAACATCCCGAAGCAAAAAGATTGGGCCAAGCGGGAAAGAATTCTAGGGATTTTAAGAATTCTTACTTCAAATAACGAAACATAATTTTACAGAATTAACGACGAATCAAATAAGGAAGCTACTGTGGTGTGTGAAAAACTTTTAGTGAATCGACATTCTGGGTAATTTTAACTATTTGTAATTATTTTAATTAACTGGAACGTGGCTATCTTGGACAAAGTGAAGTTTTGTGTGTTGGTGGTTTCTTTTTCTACTATAAATGCCTCTGATGATGGCTCCGTGGTGAGCCGAAACATGTAAGGCAGGTGCTGACGAGGTGGAAAACTTAAAAAAGTGTCACATTTGACGGAAGGAACTTGATCGTTAATTCAAAAATTTTATTTGACCTACCTGTACTCTCATCTGGTCCTTAATCTTCGTAGTCCAAGATTCTGTGCCGTATGTGAACATCAGTTCTCATATGGCATTACCATAAATTTGTAAAACTTCAGCATTATTTATGTTGTAGCATTCTTGCTATAGTTCCACATACATTTTGAAGCATATTTGCTTTTCTGTTAACATCTTTATCCTGACTGAACTTAACATTACAGCCAAAATCTTTAAAAATGTTTGCTTATTGTTATACTGCACACACTTTTAATACTACCATCTTGGAATGGAATGGGTACTTTCCTTTGAAAGCTGTAGCTTATAATTTTATGGCAGGGATTTTCAAATTTGTTACATATTACCAGTTACAAAATATGAGAATTTTGGAACTGAAAGGTTATATCTAACAAATTTAATGTAGTTGGTATCTGTACTAGTTGAAGTTATGCACAGATATGAATGATTAAATCGTAATAATGTGTAGTTCTAGTTACTCTCTCCATATGAATTTAGGTTTTTGAGATAAAGTTAGGCATGGTAAGTTCTTCCCAGAACTTCTTTTATGCCATCCATAACATGGGTTTGGGCCAGTATGTGGTGTGAATCAAGGAAACTTGCATTGTACTCACTGCATGGTGTGTAGTATAGAAACCATATTGCTTCTGTGTCACTGATAAATGCACCCATTCTTTTGCATGAGTTGATGTTAATATTAACCATTTAGATTTAGTATAATCAGTGGAAATTTGTGGTAAGTTAATTGAATGAAGAGAGTAAAATCAAGCAACTGTTACATTATAAGCATCATGCAAGAAATTTTGGTGACATTTGATTTTTTGGCTCCCAGGCGTTCTTAATGTCACAGCATACTATATGGGCTGGGACTCACCTTCATACGTGAGGTTTTCGTAGTTTTCCTCAACCAACGTGGCAGCTTCATTGTAGTATCTTCAAGCTGTCAAGGACAGCTAATTACATTTAAGTTATATGGCTAATTTATGATGAATATGGATACAACAAAATTGAGGAACCTTAAAACCAGATTTCACTCCGCTGGAAGCAGTTTTCTTATTATACAAGGACTGTTCAGAAAGTAACCTTTGTTTATTTTGGGCAACTAATGGAGGAGCAGAGAATAGCTTGCGCATGCAAGATAATGTCACATCACTTATTGCTTTGTAAACCATCACATGACTGGTCACGTAGTGTTTCTTCTTGTCTCTGCAGAGTGATATGGTGTGTCCTGTGATTGATAATCTCACCAGCTGTGAAATTTGAGCTGTTAATCCACATTCTTCATGGTAAAAACATGAATGCTGCAGAAATTCAACATGAATTATGTGTGGTAGTTTATGGCCAAAATGTAGAGTGGATGAACTCTAAGACAGTAGTGTAGAATGTTAAAAAATGTGTGAACAGATGTTCACAATGAAGAACAAAGTGGTCGACCAACTGTAGTGAGTGATGATCTTGTTTAAAATGTTGACCAAAACATTTGTGAAAGATGGTGCTTCACAATTTCAGAAGTTTTGTATGAATTTACACATATTTTGTGCATTGTCCTCTGTGGGATTGTCACGGTTAGGCTAGGCTACTACAAGTTTTCTGCTAGATGGATTTTGAAAATGATGACGGGCATGCGCAAAATGCAGAGAATGGCTTTGGCTTTGACTCTTTTAGAGTGATACCACAAAGATGGCAATGAATTGCTCAGTCACATCATATGAGTGAGTAACATGTGATGAAACGTGGGTTTCATTTGTGAATGTTGAAACCAAAGAGCAGACAAAGCAGTGGATGCACACACACAAATAAGTTTAAACAAACATCTGCCAGAAAGCTAATGGTGTCTGTTTTATTGACAGAAAGTGCTGATGGTGGAATTCATGCAACAAGGGACCACAATAACATCAGAAGTGTATTGCAAAACACTAATAGAACTGCATAGGGCCAATCAATACTAAATGTGTGAATGCTGACGTTTGGTGTAGTGCTCCTTCATGACATTGCGCGTCCAACTACAGCTGCTCACACCGAGCACTGGTGGAACATTTCAGCTGGGAGTTGTTTGACCATCCTTACAGCTCTGAACTCACTTTGAGCAAATACCACCAGTTTACTTAACTGAAGAACTGGTTGTGACCAAACCACTTCAGCAATAATGAGGAGTTGATGGAAGGTGCTCAGACATGTCTGAGCTCACAGGGGGCAGACTTCTTTGACACAAGCATATAAATCTTATTCCCCAGTATAAGTACCTGAATTCTAGTAGTGACTATTTTGATCAGTAGCTTAAGTATGCACATACTCGTACTTGTATATAATAAGATTTTTTTCTCTCATTGCTTGATTTGTTAACATCTTACTGGAGGTTACTTTCTGAATGGCCCTAATAGTTACAGGATAAAATAACCAACATTAAATCTTTTTTCTAGATGTTCAAGGGAAATGTCAATGGTGATGGAATAAGGAAGAATGCATTTGAAGTGCCTATCATTGCACAGTGGATTCGTATAAATCCAACTCGCTGGCGGGACAGGATTTCTCTCAGAGTAGAACTCTATGGCTGTGATTATGGTAAGCTCTCTTTTATTGTAATCAGTTTTATTACAAAACTTGGTAAAACCCAGAAGCTGTTGCTTCATATTGGAAAGGTTCTGTATTTAATTTTCACCTCTATGTCTGAGTGTCCTGAGGACTTTTGTAATTTTCCTCATTCCCTCCTGGAAAATGCTGGAATAGTATGTTGCTTCCATCAGTACTCCTCTTAATTCATCATCCATGCTTATTATCCTACTCAGCACTGTATCACCTCTGCAGTTGAGAAAGCACCATTAGATAAAGTTAGAATCATTTGTTATGCTATGGTAAAGGTTAAGGAACTCTTGGATGTAAATAAGTTCAGTTGTGGGATTTGCAGTAAGACTGTGATGTTATATTAATTTTACATACTGTTGTAACCAGCAGCGGGACAGGTTGGCAGGGCGAGCGGTTCCCTTGAGAGTCAATTTGGGGTAATCTTCACACTGCAGGGTGATTGCTATGATATTTAATGTACAATATGAAATAAAATACACGAGCAAGACAAGAAACAATGAAACAACAAATCTGCCTAAGACAGGGCAGTGTCTGACTTCTGATTAGAAACACTACTGCTCCACACATGGACACAGGTTTCCTACTGATGAGAGAGTGGGGGTGGGGTGTTCTAGCTGCAGTATTTATGTCAGCCAGTATGTGACTTTTCCCGCGTTTCACTTGTAACAGCTCAGAGAGCCTTCGTAATACTTGCTATTGTTTTTGACAATCATGCCTTCTGGACCTTGCTCTACTCGGACTTTAGCAGATGTTTTTTATTACTTTCAAAGATAGTAACTTGGAAGGCGAGAGTGATGTAGTTTCTCTGCTCTTCTGTCAAAAGAAGTTATTAATGGGGTATACATAACATCAGTGAAAATCCGAGTTTACAATATTTGTCACGTTCCCCTTGCATAGTTTGTTTCGTCTAAAAATAAGTAAAGTATCCTGAAATAAATGTTTTGCTTATTAATATGCTCAATCTGAATAAAATGTCATACATGACCTCTCCTTAATTAACCTCCACATATTTAAGACTTCTACTATACAACAGTATGCACATGAGACTGTACAAAATTTAATACATCTTGTTATGGTTTACAGTCTATGAATTTTTGTATTTTTCTTTGGACTATTTACAGTTTACATTTCCTTCACCTTATTTTTGTGTATATGGCTGTCACTGCTTAAATATTTGCTATATTCCTTATATGTGGTCTCTTTGTATTGTTTTTTTTGTTATTTTTATCATAATTCCTTGTACTTAATCAGTTTCTGCATAGAGGTTCTGATTAGCGTTAAATATAAAATACATTGATTTTGGCAGTTTAAATTGAACACTTATATTGTTGCATTTCCTCAGAATTTAACTTTAAAGTTAAGAAAATAGAGATTTGTATTTTTGTTTGGCCTGTATGGCATTGTGAAATATATTTAAATGTTTTTGTTCCTTTCCAGTGGCAGACAATCTATATTTCAATGGTTCTGCACTTGTTCGATGGGATTTGATGAGAGACCCCATTTCAGCATCACGTGAATCTATTAAATTCAGATTCAAGACTAATGTTGCCAATGGAGTTGTTATGTACAGTCGTGGTACACAAGGCGATTACATTGCTTTACAGCTTAGAGACAACAGAATGCTTCTCAACATAGATCTAGGTGTGCATATTACAGTTCAGTGACTTCTCACATTGATGACGCTATAGAACAGATGATTTTGAGAAGTGCAGTCCCCATCCTTAGGATAGTGTGACAGGCAGTAGACCTAGTCTGTATGCTTATAGTATGAATCTACTGAAACAGTGAATTTTGACAGCAACATTGTTTTGAGTAAAGTCCCCATAATTTAGCAGAATGGCATATGGGGAGCTGAGACCAAGCTTTTCACACTCTTAACCTCAGTGCTGGACAGAGTTGTGGGGTCATATTCTCTGCATGCTTGTAAATTGGTTTTGTTCCTAGCTCATTTAAAACACACCGTTGTCTCCACCATTCTGTTGCAGCTCCTACTGATTTAGAGATATATAAATTATATCTTGGTTTTATAGTTAAGTCTGTAGAAAGAAGTTTGTGGGTGGACTGTTGTTTGGTTAGTGTTTGTCTGTACAAGTCATATTAATATTTTACTCATATTAGAACAGAAACACACATAAGTGGATCATAAATGAATATTTCTGAGAATACCAGTACATGCAAACTGCATAATGAGGAGCTTCATAACTTATACTCTTCTCCAAGTATAATTAGAATGATCATGTCAAGGAGAATGAGGTGGGAAGGGCATGTAGCATTGGAAAGACCAAGGCAAATACGGGTGGGCAGTATTAAAATGGATCTTAGAGAGATAGGGTGGTATGGTATGGAATGGATTGATCTGGCTCAGGACAGGAACCAGTGGAAGGCTCTTGTGAACAAGTAATGAACCTTTGGGTTAAATAAAATGTTGGGAAATCCTTGAGTAGCTGCAGAATTGGCAGCTTCTCAAGAAGGGCTCAGCTCCATGAGTTACTAAGTATACCAATACATGCTAATTACCAGTAAAGAATATTAATATTAACAGAACTTATATTTAAACATTGTTTTGTATTTCCTGTACAGTATCACTTCCCAGGGTGTGCTGAAGTAAAAAAGAAATGACCTTTCTTGGTCATGATGTGTTTCATGGGTTCACTCTGTTTATGTTACAAACATTTACTGTGAAAGACAGTGGTTTGGGAAGGGGTGAACATGTCTTGTGCATTACCAGATATTATAGAGTGTCCTTGGAAAACGTATGTTTCCAAATATGCTTCCTTTGGTCTAAATGCCCAGCAGTCAGGACATAGAATTTCCCAGTGTTACATGGCACTGTGAGTATGAGGTGTAGATTTGTAGTCAGTAACCAGTCTGAAGAGGAAGTCTTCTTTGTCTGAAATATTGGAAAATAAGTCCATTACAACATATTGCCAGTGCCCCAAAATGAATTCAGTTTTAAGTAAACAACTGCAAAATCCTAGACAATACTGCTTTTTAGAAGAGTGGATCTCAGTTTGTATTATCTGTGATAGTTGAACCTTCAACTTAGGGTCAGTAATATAGACATTGCTGTGGTAACAGAAGCACCATAACTTGATTCAGATGAAGGCTTAGTACTTCTTAGATCAGTGTGAAAGTGATTTAGATATTCTGCTAATTAAGCAGTTCTGAAGCTGCCCATAATGATGAAAACCATTGGCCTCTGCATATAATGTTGTTATGTTACTAATCATCCTTTTGTATGGTCAGGTGCGGGCATAATGACGAGCCTTTCAGTTGGTAGTCTTCTGGATGACAACATTTGGCATGATGTGGTGATCTCACGTAACAGAAAAGACATCATGTTTTCTGTTGACAGAGTTCAGATTCGAGGCAGAATCAAGGGTGAATTTTACAGACTGAATCTTAACAGAGGTGTAAGTATCTTAATATTTTAACTTCTCTTTGACTTGACTCATCATGCCCCATCATACTAGCAACACTATAAAATAACTCGCAACACCGTCCAGTGTGATTGTTTCATAAAAATTGTAGTTCAATTTTTCATTGTCCTTAACATGTTTCAGTTAAATGGACTATCTTCAGAAGGACACAATCAATGTTTGGGAAACCACTATTACAGTGTCATTAATATATAAAAATTATACCATGACATTAAAGCCATTGAAACCATGTCACGATAGACAGTCTTCTTCGTTTAATGAGAAGAAATTCCAAGACATGAACCAGTGGTTGTAGTTTTAACAAAACGTTTTCTTTATAACTTTGCTTTTATATACTTTACTGTGTAAATAAATTACTTATAGTAGCACACAAATGTTCCAACCACTTATATAATTAAGACTGTTACAAGGTATAATTTCTTATATATTAATGATGTAATAATGGTTTCCTAAATATTGATTGCGTCCATCTGAAGATAGTCCATTCGACCGAAACATGTTGACACTGAAAAATTGAAATACAATCTTTATAAATCAGTCACATGGAATGGTGTTGCAAATTATTTTATGCTTGTATCATTGCTTTATTTCCTTTACACATATTACTTGCCCCATTGAACTGTGTGAGTCTTGTGCTTTTATGTAAATCCACTTGGGGTCAATGCTCTGACTGATAGAAGCTGTAACACTTTAAATCCAGCCATAGTACATACATCCTGCTGCTTGCTTCACCAGGTATACTTACCATGTGAAAAGCTGCCAGCAATATCAGCATAGAATTTCACAGTTTGACAGTTGAAAACTTGTAGTTCTGTGGTTCAGTAGTAGAGGTCTCTGTATAACAGGGATGTGAAGTGTTCCCACCTACAGTCATGCGCTGTGTTTACTGTTCCTCAGTTCTATATTCTGCCTCTTAATCAATGAATTCCCCCCCCATTTTAACTGTTTAATGTTGACAGACAAGGTGAGGAACAACATGAAGTCAGGTACTGTTCTAAAAATAGTTTGTGATACTCTAGTATGATGTATGAGGGGGGACCCAAAAATAACCGGAAACGACCTGTTGTGCGCGCATGCTTTGTAGTTATATGAGTTGTGCTGCTAGGTGGTGTTAGCTGGGGGTCTCCCGCGACTGTTAGTGAGCTGGAGTCAGTCTGAGTTAAGTGGTTTGTCTGTGGTGCTCTGTTGTGTGCGTTCCTGTTTCAACCCTTTGGCGATTAGTGAGATGGCCGACCAGAAGGAACAAAGAGTGTGCGTGAAATTGATGAAGATCGTCGAAAGACCATTGGCCAACTTTCTGAGGAAACGAACATCTCATGGAGCACGGTCCAGTGAATTTTAACCGAAGGTTTGCACATGAGACGGGTGTGTGCGAAATTTGTTCCTCGCTTGCTCGGAGATGACCAAAGAGAAAACCGCGTGAATGTTTGCCGCGACTTGAAGAGTGAAGTGCAGTTTTCCCTAACAGAAAGCAAAATTTCACGCACACTCTTTGTTCCTTCTGGTCGGCCATCTCACTAATCACCAAAGGGTTGAAACAGGAACGCACACAACAGAGCACCACAGACAAACCACTTAACTCAGACTGACGCCAGCTCACTAACAGTCGCGGGAGACCCCCAGCTAACACCACCTAGCAGCACAACTCGTAACTACAAAGCATGCGCGCGCAACAGGTCGTTTCCGGTTATTTTTGGGTCCCCCTTCGTATAGTCAGAGTTTATTTCGTAGTATGTACTTTATTGATATCGCTCCATATTTGAATGTGAATGTGTCAAATTTTTTATTCTGCTTGTTGGTACAACATTTTACTTACATGTGTGAAAATTTCACGATTTATATGTCAGAACTGATAAAATTATTATTTTTTCCTGTGCCCAAGTACACCATTTGGCACAGAAGAAATGGCACCAGCTGCAAAGTGGTAAGGATTATAATGTTTGTGTTCCTTTGTAACAGTTCTATATTGGAGGAGTTCCTAACAAGCAAGATGGCTTGATTGTCATGCAGAATTTCACAGGCTGCATGGAGAACCTGTACCTTAACTCAACTAATGTGATCAGCAGTATTAAAGAAGCTACAAGTTATGGTGATACATACTTGTATGAGAAAGTACACACTCTCTATAGCTGTCCTGTAAGTAATGGATCCATTGCACATGCAGGGTACACTATTTAACTATAGACCTACATTTGCTGCAAATTTTTTTTACGGTCCTGTTCTTCTGGCAGGTATAGACACACCATACACTGAAAACCGAATACTATAAATGCCTCATGAAAGGCTTTCCAAGAGACCAAGCAGTATAAATTTCTGAAGCTAGAAAACATATTAAAAGGGTCTTCTTTATGGTGTTTGCAAAATTAATTTTATCCTTTGTAAAAAGAAATGGTTTTTCCTGATACTTCACAATAAGATCCCCACACTTATAATATTAGACTAATTTCCATCATAACATCCAAAGACATATGACATTGAAGTAAAAATAAAAACGTTTTACTACAAATATTTTGTTTTGTAATGATTACATCTTAGTTACATACATCAGGCACATAACAAAATGTGAAGTGTATTGTTTTTTGTGTTCTTTTAAACTTATTAATATTATTCTTTGTCTTTGCAGGAGCCTCCAATTATTCCAGTTACATTTTTAACATCACAGTCATATGCAAAATTAAAAGGTTATGAGGGTGTGAGGTCTCTTAACGTTTCTTTTTCATTCCGGACGTATGAAGGAGATGGCCTCCTGCTTTATCACAGGTTCACGTCGGATGGTCATGTTAAGGTATCTATAATCATTGTGTCATGCTCATGCAAGTGTCCATGACATTGAAATAAATTTCTTACCTAACTAGTAAAGAGGGGAGCTGGGATAGCACAGCCAGTGTAGTGACTGGCCACAGGTTGGTCAACCAAAGGGTTGGAGTTTGAGTCCCAGTGGAGGCAAGAATTTTCACTTCTCCGCGTCATCCAGACTGGCTCAGGGGTCCACCCAACCTCCTATCCAAGGTACCGGGGACTCTTTCCCCTGGGGTAAAGTGGCTGGGTCGTGAAGCTGACCACTCACCTCCAACTGGTGCCAAGATCAAGAAAACGCGAGTCTGTACGTCCACTCCCCCGTATATTTTCATGGGGTAGTGCTTAATCAGTTAAGCACAAGGACAACTTTACCTTTACTAGTAAAGAGTCATAACTCTAGTTAGCCCCTTTGCAATGATTATTATAATAATATTAGAATGAAATCCATGTTTAGTGGTGCAGTGCTGTGAGTTCTGCCATTTAAGTCAGCAATGTAAGATTTGAAGATGACATTCTCAACTGCAACAGCTTCAGTCATCTGCTTCAGATATATAGCTTTGTGAGTTATGACTGTTTCTGAGGTACAGAATTGCTGCACTTTGCTGACTTTATGGTTTTGTGTAGGGTGTGTTATTAAAGATCATTGGCTTGTACCATGTTGAGTTCTGAGGCAAAAAGTGGTCTAACAAGGTATTATGGGATACATACGATGTCAATAATATTAATTTTTCTTCAGGTTGCATGATTGTAACTGAAAATGACAGTTAACCAGTTGGGCAGGCTGTGATTGATGAACTTCATAACTCTGGGACTAGAACCTCGAAGTTGGACTCTGCTGGACATATTCTTCAGACTGTTCCATCTAGTATTCTTCATGATATTTAATGATGCTTTCTTAACTGCATATAAAAAAAGAACTTCGTGATTTTAGTCCGCAAGCGAACTATACCAACCCAATGACTGCCGCTTGTCTGCGAAATTATTGCCAACTTTTGTGGGTAGAGGGAGTCGCGTGGTCAGCACAATGAATCCCCGCGGCCGTTAATTTCAGTTTTCTAGACCAGAGGTGCTATTTCCTTGAAATAGCTCCTCAGTTATCATCACGAGGCTGAGTGGACCCTGTTCCAGACCCACTACTTCTCAGAAAATCTATTAGAGCTAATAATCGAACCCAGACCTCTGGATCTGTAGCCAGGAACTCTGACCATTAGACCACAGAGGTAGTCTTCTTAGTCATAACTGCATGTTGTAACATGTTTGGAGTAGATACTTCCATGGCAACGCAATAACAGTGGGTCGCTGCATAGAAAATGCCGAAACAACAAACGCGTTTCCTGGGAGATGAACAACAGAAGGCCGTTGAGTACCAATGGATGAGACAAAACACGTTACTGCTGTAATCTATAGAGATCGTTCCCGAAGCAACGGATTGCCGAACAAGGGAGATCGAACCTTGGCGAATGGTGTCTCGTATCTGGTCCGCAGAACACCTACATAAGTTGAGAGTGACAGAGCTACAGGATGACAGTCGAAATCTAGCCTTCATACAAGACAGTTGGAACTGAGCCTTCATACAAGACAGTTGGAACCTAATCGAGACGTCGCAGAAGCCACGTGATACCACAAGCGATAATACTTGTATGGTGTATAAGTGTGAGTGTCCAATAAAGATTCGCTGAATCCGAGACCCACGTGAATTTAATGGTCGCGTGACATACCCAACACTTGACAATATGTTATATTTAATTAAAATCTTCATTTTTATGTCGGATATTTTCTAAAGGTTTTCCAACAAAAATTTTATATGCATTTTTTGTCTCTGCATCCATTCCACATGTCTAGCCTATCATAACCTCCTTAATTTAATGATTGTAAGAATACTGAGACTTGTATGTATCATGACATTCCTAGTTATTATGTACAGCATTAAAATAAAAACTAACTCCATGGCCTGTAGTCCACAAGCGAACTATACCGACCGAGCGACTGCCACTTGTTGGTGAAGTTAATACCAACTTTAGTGGATAGAGGGTGTTGCATGGTCAGCGCAACGGATCCGCACAGCCGTTAATCTCTTTTCTAGACCAGAGCCGCTACTTTTCCCTTCATGTAGCTCCTCAATTATCCTCATGAGGCTGAGTGGACCCTGTTTCAAACCCACTACTTCTCAGAATATCTGGTAGCACCGGGAATCGAACTCGGGACCTCATGATATGTAGCCAGGAACTCTGACCACTAGACCACAGAGGCGGTCATGCAGCATTACATTTGGATATATTCCTGAGAACTTTTTTCCACAAACCCTAGGAGTATGTATTCTCAAGTAGATGCATAAATAAAATAGTAACGTGTGAAGCAATTTTTAGCCATTATGCTGCAGACTTTTTGAACTCTGTAAGAAACTAGTTAATTTTTCTTATGCAGTGATTTGAACTGAGTTTATAAACAAAGTAGGTCATATAAAATATTACTCAATTTGTTATTTTGAACTAATATACATTTTGTATGTATTTATAAGAAAGATGCTTGTTTTTTTATCGTTGTTTACTTGTTTAATGCAGCAGTGAGTTAGGAGTTTCTGTTTTAAAATCTGGCATTAACGCTTAATTTTGTATGTTATGTTTTTATTATTGCAGCTCTTCCTACATGAAGGTAAAATTAAGGTTGAACTCTTCACAGCAGGAAATCCAAAAGCTCTGTTAGACAATTATGAAGAAGTGTTTAATGATGGAAAATGGCATCAAGTGATACTCACAATTGGGACCAATTTTCTAGAGTTGAATGTAGATGGGAGACCAATGAAAACTGTTCGCATATTGTCAATGACTACTGGAAGTGTTTATTACATAGCAGGTAAGCTTTATATTGAGTTAGTGTTTGTAATCATGTTTCGACCATTCAAAATTCATAATGTGTTTACATCCATAAACTGTTAGACAAGTACAATTGGACAAGTCAGTTTAAGTCATCTAAAACACTACAAGTCAACAACTCTTAAAAATGTATAGAAAGATATACAAGACTACGAACAATACAGTCATCTTAGGATCATTGTCCCCCTGCTGAAGCTAGCAACTGAGGATGACATCCCCCATCAATCCAATATAAAGCAACACATTGTAAGTTAAATGATCATAATGTTCACATGGCAGTCAGAATGCTACTGTGTGCAAATATGCTTTAATTATGAATGTTAATTTAAAACAGTTTTATGTTGTCAGACAGTTAGACCACCATTGCACTACAGTCGTCACTGGCATATGTACATATAGGCATGTTGCATTTTTGTGTGTTCAGCCATCTGTATGGCAGTTGTATCCCCATTAAAACTTGAAAATAGCTTATACAGGATGGATTCATTCTTATTCATAAAGTGTGAATGTTTCTATGTGACACACTATCCTAGTAATTTCTCCAGTAACAGTCTTTTTCACAAAATGCACTTACTCTTCATAAGATAATGCAATGTGTTATGAAGGCATTAACCTCTAGAGAACTATGAAATCTTTCTTTAAGGCAGACCATTAAAAAGTTTGCATCATTATTTTTGATTGATTTGCAGGAGCTCCAGTTAATGTTATAAAGCACCGAGGATTTGTGGGATGTATGAGAGTGATCAGCATAGATGGGAACTACAAACTGCCGACAGATTGGAAAGAAGAAGTAAGTTCAGTGGACTTAACAGTGGTGGCAGTGAAGTGCATTATCTTTTGGGATAATGCCATATAGTCTGATAGAAGTCCACTGACATTTCAGATAAATATCCTGTTTGCATCTTCATGGTTTGAAGAGTCATGCAAGAATTCGGTAAGAAGTAGGTGGCAAGCAGTGTGAACCACATGCTTCAAACCAGGATCTGATATATGCAGGAGGAAACTAGGGAGAAACAATTCAAGGGAGACCCCTTGTATGTGGCTTAGAGTGAACCAGTAAGAAACGAGAAGAGTAACTATTTGGCATGGGAAACGGATATTTTGTTGCATACTTTGATGCCAGATACATGAGCTGTATCTTCATGGAGGTGATTGGCATTGAGCTCCATTCCAATAATATGTATATGAGGGATAGTTTCTGTCAAAGCAAGTCATGGAAACCTTTCATCTACTCCCTGAAAGAACATAGGAAGTTCTCTAAATAGGATTCCCGAGATTGGATTTTCCATCAAGCTGTAGTTCAGGCATATTACCCTTATCAGGTCATTTATTTCACCTTTTCAGGGCACCCATACACCCTGAGCCTTCCTTATTTCTCTTCCTCTGCTCTTTCCCCATTTTGCTTCCAAACTTCCCTTCCACTGTACTTCACTCATATCTCCTGCTGCTTGCTTAGAAGTAACATGTCTTCGCTCTACCTCTTTCCCATTTTTCCACCCACTACACATGACTCTTGCCCTTATTTCTGTAAGGAACAAAATGTCCCTTTCCAGGGCCAGGGAGTCACTGCTCTTGGTCCCTGTTGGTTTGCTCTGAGCCATGCACAGACAGTGAGCCTTCTCTGAATTGGCTGGCCCTAGGTTTCCTCTTGTCTACTGAAATGCTGGTTTTCTGCCTGCTTCTTGCTGGCTTACGCTTCAAACTCTGAAGATGGGGTGGTACACTCCTCCAGAACATCAATGGACTTCTGCTGGATTACACAGCATAACATTCCAGAATCCCATGAATTTGCCACATCTGTTGCATTTATACTGATACTTGAAGGAATAAGTCATTTATTCACAAAGTAAAAAGTTCCATGTTTCATGTTTACACTTTGTGGACCAGTCGCATAATATTATGCTTTTCACTTTTAAACGTGGCGGACTGGTCGCATAATATTATGATTTAAACACATGTTATGTTGCAACACACTATACCTTGCTCCGGTGCCACACAGATGTATAACTGGTGTGTAATAGACCTCCCGAATGTTTGCTTAGTAGTCAGTATAGCAAGTGTCACGTGACTTCGAACAAGGCCAAGACTAACCTTGAATGTGCAGAAGATAAATTTCAGACAAGGGTGTGGGTTCAAGGGTGTGAGCAGTGACAGGCGGCCAGTTGTTTGTAAGGCACCCTCGAAGCAGGTTATACTTACAGTTTTTCTATCATCTGTTTAAAAATGTCAGTTTCCTTGTGCGCTAAATCGTACATAATGAGTAAGAAATTAGGTCAGGGTATAGGTCTACAGTCACAGACGAAGCAAGTAACTGCAGATGTATATAATTACTTAAAGAGAGCTGCTGTAAAGTTAAGGTTCTTCGAAACGAGAATAGGGTAGTTCCAATGAAATATGAGGGGTCGGTGAAAATGGAAGAAAGAGTGTTAAGAAACTCCTCCCACCACAAGCTATGTGTGGGATTTGACTAGGAATGCGAGGCCTTGTTCAAAGTTACGTGACACTGTCTATAACATGACCTCACTGTTTTCCTATCCTACTCCAAAGGAAAATGCCTTTGTTCGTCTTCAAGCTGTATGTACCAGGCAGTAAGTTAGTAGTGCAGTATGGATCAAGGACGAAAGCGGTTGAAGACAAAGTAATCTCTCGGAGAACAAGAAATATCTGACTTGTTTTCCGATGAGCTGTCTGACGTGCCTTGTGAGACATTTAATGATAGTGACTCAGACAGTGGCAGTGACAGGGGACAACAGAATTGTGGCCACAGACAGTAAAAGTTACAGTGGTAACTGCAGAATACCTTCTTTCGAGAAAAGTACGTGTTTGTGGAACAATTAGGGTGAGCAGAGGCCTTCCTCCAGATCTGAAAGAGGAATCTAAATACCTGAAACGTGGTGAAACCACATTCAGGATTAAGGGGGATATTCTTCAGTCCTGGAGGGATACTCTTGTTGTGAATATGATTTCCACAATTCACAATTCGAGCATGGTTGATGTTCAAAGGAGACATGGACAAGTAAAGAAGCCTATTTGTATTTATGATTATAATATGTTCATGAAGGGAGTTGGTAGAGCCGATCAATACTTGGCCTATTATTCTCTTCCTAGGAAAACAATAATGTGGACAAAGAAAGTTGCCTTGTGGCTTATAAATTGTGCCATTTTCAATTCATTTTTGGTTTACAAAAATCTAAACCCTGATTTGAAATTGAAATACAAAGCGTTTCTGATGAATGTGGCAAAGGCCTGGGCTACAGACCAGATGGTGGCAGCGGAGCAGTCAGACAGAGACTTAGGGAGACCAGGCCCAACAACTCCCACCCCGCGCAGGCCTCATGTGAACCCCCTTGGGCGACTCTTGGGTGATAGGCGGAAACATACCATTGTGAAAATTGTGAAGAGTGAACATTCCAAGGGGAACCATCTTTGGCCCTACATAATAATAACATCTAGCGTAAAAAGGTTATCCATTTTATAATATTTCATTACTTTGTTAGTGTTTTATCGTTGCTGCATTTTAGCTTTATATAGTGCGGCCTGATGTGTCAGAATTGTATCTCATAGTACAAGACTACTGTGAAAGGACTATTTTCTTTACCCATTGATTGTATCTTGGGTAATGAAAATTATTTTTATGAAGTAGCATCTGTTTCACATCCCAGCTTCTCCCTTGGTTCCAGCTTGATCAGTAGTGAATAATTACTGGAATCTTTTATGTTTTGAGAATTGATGTTAATTATGTTAATGTATTGTGTCTCCGTCTGTTAATGTTTATTTGTTCAGGAATACTGCTGTGCCAATAGTGTTGTGTTTGACACTTGTCAAATGACTGACCGATGCAATCCAAATCCCTGCAAACACTTGGGAGTTTGCAAGCAGAACTCAATGGAGTTTTTCTGTGATTGTACCAATACTGGGTATTCAGGAGCTGTCTGCCATACTTGTAAGTAATGTACCACCAGCAAGGCATACTATGTAACTGAAGCATATATAGGATTTTGAGTTTTTGAGATTAAATCAGGTAACAGAAACCTCAGTTAAGAGACTGATTTTTGAGTCTCAGCCTTCAACAGTTTTCAGATAACTACTTTGGTTTTGTGTAGTAGCATGCAGACTACCTGATCCATCACATGTGTAATGGTTGGTAAGGCTAGCACAAATTAGTTTGTTAACAAAGCTTATCTCTCACCCCTTCTTTTTGTCCTTGGCAATAAAAGGATGTGGGCTGGAATTGCGTTTTTGAGTATAATGATTTGTGAACTTTTTTATTGATTAGGAGTTCTGAGATTATAATAGATACATCATACTCTTTAGTAGACTGCAAAAAAGTGACTGGTGTTACAAATTGCACTTACTTTGAAAAATTGATTTAGTAAAGAAAGTCCTCATTTTTGTCTCTGTTCTCAGAACTTCCGAATTCTCATCTTGAACGGAAGAAATTGTCTTGCATTTTGTATCTTGTCACCATGATTGTGGCCTCAGAATAATGTTCGAAAGTAGTCAAATGGAATGTTATTGTTTTGTGGTTGCATGGAGTATGGGTAAGGCATCTTTAAAAATTGAACATCCAAAATATATTTTCAGTGCAGATATAATTGACTCAGCATAAGTTAAATTTATTTTATGATCAGAATACACAGAGAGATGACCGAATTTTAACTAAGTTTGAAATCCTGATAAATCTGACACATTAACTGCCTGCAGGAGGTTTTGAATTGAATGTTCCTACCGTGGCAATGAATGCCTGATAAGCCCAGCATAGGACAAAGGAGGGAAAGTTCCTGGACTCTTATTTTTGTAACTACCTCAGTGAAAGATGAGAAGGGAGGTCAAGGTCACACTTCTGCAAGCCTATTGCAGCAGTCTACCACATGGCACTGCACTGTGCACACGCATTGTTTTTACACAAGTGTTTTTTCAACTTCTTGTTTTATTTTGTCTACAATGGATGGTAAAATTGAGCAACATATCTGAATCAAGTTTTGCATGAAGCTTGGTAAACCTGCTACTGAAAACCATGAAATGCTTCATGATGCTTTTGGAGAACATTCTTCAAACTACACAGTGGTTTTTGAATGGCATTCATGTTTCAAGACTGGTTGAGTGTGATTTGAAGATGAACATTCAGAGCAACCAAGCATCAGCAAAATAACAAAATGGTAAATAAACTCGAGAACTCATCCATGGAGGTCATCGCTGAACAATCCATGAGCTTGCAGACACCACAAAGGTCAGTTAATGAAGTTTGCCAGGAGATCTTAACAGAAAATTTGAACATGTGCCGCATTGCTGCGTAGTTTGTTCCCTGACTTTTGACATACGATCAAAAGCAGTGCTGTATAAACGTGTGTCTTGAGCTATGAGAGAAGGCTAACAAGGACCCAACTTTTATCTCTAGGATAATGAAAGGTGACAAAATTTGGATTTACAGTTATGATCCAGAAACGAAGCAGTCGCAGTGGCAGAGCCCACAGTCACCAAGAGCAAAAGAGGTGCAGCAGGTCTGGAGTTCAACAAAGAGCATACTCATTGGTTTTTTCGATATGAAGGGGATCGTTCACCATGAATTTGTTTCTCCCAACACTACGGTCAACTCTGACTCTTACTGTGATGTTTTGAAATGCTTGAGAGAAAATATGCAATGAAAAAAGCCGGAACTTTGGCAGAATCACAACTGGCTCCTTCATAATGACAACATGCCTGCCCACACATCCCTGAAAACCGCAAAGTTTGTAACTAACAGCAGCAGCATTATCATTCCCCCCCAAATTGAAAATGAAGCTGAAGGAACGACATTTTGGAACAGTGTCTGACATCCAAAGGGAATCACAAGCAGTACTCAGCAATATTAAGGAAAATGGCTTTCATTGTGCCTGTGAAGCATGGAAAAACGGCGGGATCATTGTATGCGTTCTGAAGAAGACTACTTTGAAAGAGATGGCAGCCAAAATTGAATAAATTAAGCCAACATTTATTTTCTGACCTAGTCCAGGAACTCTCCAATAGCACCTTATATCTTCCCTTTGTGTGCAAATATGTTGAAATATATTGTGTCTGTACATACTGCCCATATCATGAAGGCATTGTGCTAAATCTTGTTACAATGCAAGATGCTAACCAGACAGTATGTGACGTGTCTAGCTGTCACATGAGAGGTCCATTTCCAAGCCTTAATTGGTGGTAAATATTAATCTGTTAGTTCATCTGCGGGTTTGCCGGAAACAAAAAGTTATTAGAGCTTTGTAGCAATCCCAAAAAGAAGTACTCTAATCTTTATCTGATACAATGCCACATGAAAAATAGGTTCTGATTACCTTAAGTGTCTTGGTTCTTACATTCTTATTGTAAATCTATGTAATAATGGTGAAAGGGATTTTAAGCAGTGTTGACAGCTGAACCAAAAGTTAAAAATTGCATTAATATGTGATGTCTTCAAACATAAAAATAGGGAATTAATGCAGTATAGATCATAACATTTAAATTTTGTTTTGTCTTTGCAGCCTTGAATCCTTTGTCATGTACTGCGTACAAAAATACAAATGCTGTTAACCAGAGAGCAGAGATGAAGATTGACGTTGATGGAAGTGGTCCTCTGCGTCCATTCCCAGTAACATGCGAGTTCTATGGTGAGAACCACATACTTCACACAAATATTGCTTGCTTTTAGGTTCCCTTTACGAGAAAAATAGCATAGTTGAAACTTTGCTTTATTGGTGTGAGGACTGCAGTAAATTGTGCACTGTAAGAATAAGGTTCAGACATTAGTATTTTCACATTTAAGCATGAAATTAGTGTATCATCTGGGTAATTGCCACATTACACAGGGCAATTGATTGTATATTGATTGCAGAAGACTGATAATGTAATCTGATATAGTGTTTATTGACAGTAAATTATCATAGTTGTACACTCAGATGCCTTATATTTATTGTCATTAGTATTGTCCTGCAACAAAGGGAAGGTGAAAGTGGTGGGCACGTTGGTTAACCTTGACATTTTTGAAGTCCATTTAGAGACATATTGAGCTTCAGTTTACCAGTGATAATGGCAAGACTGATTTCATCTTGCACAGTGCACGCTGAGTGAGAGAGGGAGGTTTGGTAATAGCCTCAAGATATCTTCGTTGGAGGGCTAATACACAAGTTTAGGCTTTTTTTTTTTTGCAACCTATGAATTTCTTACTCATTTACAGTATTTAACAACCAGGGTTTAGATTTGTTGTTTTTTCCCCCTAATTAAGGTTGCTTTGCACTTGCCATTGTTATAGAGTTTTATTTTAAACAAATTCTGGGAAGAACTTATCACCAATATCGACCGCATAGAAAATGAGGTGTCCAGTAATTCTTCCATTGTTGCATGTGTATTCATTGCCACAGTAATGTTTCTACTGAGCTGTTGCCTAGCAATGAAAGGGTGAGACACATGCAGACACACAGACTGATGGGACTGATTTATGAAGTACACTATTGAGATAAACCCAGGTGCCATGATATGCATGCCAAGTTTCGTAGTGTAGTGCCAAGGACCATGAACTCTCTGATCGACGAGCTATACCATCCCGCAACATGGCATCGAACTCGGCTTTTGCGATAGCGAGTCGGTCCGGTGCCAGTCGCCGTGGTCGGCAGGTTACTGGTGGGCCAGGCACAGTCCTGATGTGGTGGACGGTGTTGTGTCGTATCTCGCGCTGGACTCCGGCTGGGCGGGTCAGGTCCGGGAACTCTGTGAGGAGGCTGTCGATCGGTGTGTTGCTGCTGATTGTCTTTACACTGGGGATCAGTGCGTTGGCCGCTGATGCCGGAGCTGACAGCGTCGTGACCCCGTCCAGGATGCGGTTGTTCCGACAGTCCACCAGGAGACCGAAATGCGACAGGAAGTCCACGCCGATGATAGGATGTGGGACTTTGGCCACCACGAAGCGCCACATGAATTCTCGGCGTAAGCCCAAGATTGGTTCAGCCAATCAAAAGTTGATAGAGGGCAGTACACAGACACACAGATAGCATGGAGATTGCCTAAGCCTACTTTCAGTTTTTGGAATCTACAAACTAGACTTATCATTTTACTTCCAGTACTAGCTAACTGTTTACAGTTTTCATTTTATAATCTTTCTCATATATTTATTACAAGTTTCCACTGAACTCTGAAAAATTCTAGTCTGAAGTATTTACTCTTGACTTTCAACAGAATTATGCTGATTGCAGCAAGCTATGACAACTCACCATATCCAGTTAGCATGATGAAAGATCTTAATACAATCTTCTGACAGTATTTAATGTGCTCATTTCAGCGGATGGAAGAGTTCTGACTGTGGTGAACCACAGGAATGAAGGAACAACACCAGTAGATGGTTTCCCAGAACCTGGAAGTTTTGTGCAGGATATAATGTATGATGCAGATATGGATCAAATAGAAGCTCTCATCAACAGATCTGCAACATGTCAGCAGAGACTGCGCTATGAATGCAAGCAGTCACGTCTTTTCAACTCTCCATGTATGTGATTTGTTTCATTTACATGGAGTTTTAAGGATTTGTTTTGTTCAGCAGCCACTTATAATTGGGGAATATCAGTTCATATTGAACATAATGGTAGGTACGTGCTAGCGTAGCTGGTTGAGGCTCTGTGCTACAAGCCAGAAGGGTTTGGGTTCAAGTCCCGATGAGGTAGATTTTTTCAGTTGACCTAATCTTTCAGCTGCACTATGATCCTGGTGTCAACTCAGCCTCTAACAGAAATGAGTGCCAGGAATCTTCCGGGGGAGGGGCTGGGGGTGCGGCCGGCACATAAGGCTGACAACCGTACTGCCATCTGTGAGCCAGTTGTCTAGAGAAAATGTGGGAGCCTTAATGTCTTAGAACCCTATGAGCCTCCACAGCCTGTTACAAGGATAAAGATGATGTTGAACCAGAGACAATTATAAGTTCAAAATATGGAGAACTGTAGGAAGTAGTTCAGTTAACTCTGTTAAGTGTGAAATTCTTGTGAAATTTAAAAATGTCTGCCACGCACAAAATATTGTTCATTACGAAGATCAACTGCTCAATGATGTGCATGCAGTTTATTCTGAAGATTGTACAAACAAATACAGCATGTAGGCAAAAGGCAGTGTCTGAATGTTAAAAGATGTGTTATATATGGTTACCATTATGCTGTAATGGGTTAAAAATTATAATCTAAAATATTTTAATACATTTTTGTATATCTGCATAATTATTAGTTAATTTTGAACAGCTCACTTCTGTTACTTTGAAACTTGTGTCTTCTTTCTGGACTAATGTTAAAGCTTCTCTGTTACTCTGTGTTTTCTGAACAGACGTGCATCAGTGGCTGTACTCTTCTGATAAAGTTGCTTGATCATGACAGTCTTGATTGACCATAAAGATAATTTCTTGGCCAGGTGTTGTTCTGATACAAGTTCAGTACATACATACTCTCCATAGAACAGTTTACATCATTTTCTGAGTTTTTACAGAATTTTTGAAAACTAAATAGACATAAAGGAATTTTCACGTAAAGAGAAAAAGTTAGGGCTCTTGAATTTTACTGTTTCTGTTGATCAAATATACTTTTATACTTGCCAGCTGATGAAGGAAATTTCCGTCCCTCTTCTTGGTGGGTTTCACGTTACAATCAGCGCATGGATTACTGGGGTGGTTCTCTGCCAGGCTCTCGCAAATGTGAGTGCGGGATCATGGGGAAGTGTGTGGACACCACTAAGTGGTGTAATTGTGACTCAGGTAAGAGACTGTATCATATTCTCAGTCAGTTTTACTCTATTCTTTGTTCCTTTCACATTGTATAATGGATGTTAATATATGTATTGTCACATCGGTTTGGACTGGTGAATGGATTTATTGACCGCTTACACATGTCTCAGAACTACAAGCAATTACAGTACCACCACTAACCTCCACAATTCACAAATCACCATAGCATCCACTAAACCTTTTCCAGCTTTTTGTGTCTTCACCAGCTGTTCCCTGACAATGGCATCTAACAGTTGTGGTTCTACAGCTTCATGTGCTCAAGTCTTCTCATCATTGGTTTACTCACCTGGACACGGTTGTTTCTATTTGATGCAACCCACATTATTAGTGAACATATTTTTCTGAAAACCAAATATTTTGTATGAAGTTAGCTATATTATCATCAGGGCATTATTTTAATTGGCATTTTCCAAAATGTTATGTTTATTAGAATATCGAATGATGGACAGACTCCAAAGACCTAGTGATCCCAAACAGAATCCTTATTTAATATTCCCAAGTTTAAGCAAGTTCATGATTTTACTCAAGATTTCTGCAGTCTGAACCCACGTATGTCGCTGTTAAGTTTCTTCCATGTTAGGTATTTCCCAATTAGTGTTCCATTCCACTGCCCTTTACAGAAACAGTAATGTTATTTCACTGTAAGGAAGTGGTTTAAATACATTTTTTGTTTTTGAACCAGGTTTAGATAGCTGGTTGGAAGACGGAGGAGATCTGACACATAAGGAACATCTGCCTGTTAAACAGCTGCGATTTGGTGACACAGGGAGTCCATTAGATGAAAAGGAGGGTCGATACACCTTGGGTCCTCTCATGTGTGAAGGAGATGGTATGTTATGTTGTATTCTATAGTTTCATGTAAGCTGTAGTCAGAAACCTGAAACACAGAAGATGATTGTGATTGCTGTGATTGCACTTGAGTAAGTTATTACCAGAGAAGAGACTGGCAAATGGCAAAGGAGAACCAAGGAAGGAAGAATATGTCCAAGCTAATGAACTCTCTGATGAAAGGAGTAGGAGTCATTTGTTAGCTGTCTGACATTATGCGTGAATGAATTCCCAGAGTTAGAATATGCAGTCTGACAAGTCTTATACCAGAATGTGTGGGAGGATGTGCCTGTTGTGCAAATTCATTGAGGAAACCCTAGTTGCATCACTTGTATATTTGATTTGAATGGCCATGGTATGTGACTGAATTTCTCCAAATGTTTGGTTGCCCACCAAAAGAGATGTAATTAACACACACAAGTAAGTGTTCTTTGCTCCACTGACTAAAAATGCAAGAAAAATGTAGGCATAAACTTAATGTAAATGCATTGAAAGGGACATATGTCATTCTCTTTCACTGAGAGTATATGTTTAACCATATTTTTGGACCGAAACCTCTGAAGAACAATGAGACCAGTCATATATGAAATCGGTATATTTTTCGTGTTTGTTTTAATGTGTGTGTACGTTCTCTCATTGATAAATAAGGAATTGGTCAGAATTTAATTATTAGGCGTTTTATTTATAGTACTGTATCCATTGTCTGATTAAAACAAAGTACAGTGGAACCTTGAACTTCAAACACAATCTGTGGCAGGAAGTGGTTTGACTTTCGAGTTCAATTTCTCAATTTGAAATAAGGTAAATTGAATTAATCCATTCTAAACCCTCAAAATTTACCCAGTATAAAACATTTTAAGTGCCTATTCCAAAAGATCTTATTGCTGAATAATGATTAAACAAGGATATTTAATTTCAATAATTGAATGTTGTATTTATAATAGTATACACATAAAAATACTGTATAATAATCAATCAGTAATAATACTAGGAGGGATAGTACTGTTCACTGGAAGGTGAATTGCCCTTCTTTCATCTGGAATCCGCTAGTTGAGAGCTGTGGTTCATTAACATTACAACCATGACTTGATTTTTTCTTTGGAGACAAACCTGTCTAATGTTATTTGTTTTTGTCTCTTCTTTTAAATGTTCTTGAAATGTTGCAGTACATTGTTATTAAACAGGTTGATACTCATGTTCACAACTGCAATATTGGGATGCCATTTCTATACAAGGCGTGACATCCACGTGATTCTTTGACTTTTGAGTTTTTCTTGAAGTTTCAAAACCAGATTTTCCTCGAATTTTTTATTTGAGTTTTGAATAGCTCAAACATCAAACCTTTCAAAGTTTGAGGGTCCACTGTATGTTCCTGACATACTTAATGGCTGAGGTAGTTTGTACAAAATGTTTTCATTCTTCTTGTACAAACTTATATGGTGGCTATCAAGACTTTCTATCACTTTACATTGTTTCCCCAATGCTAAAGAAAAATGTGACTGCATAATATGATAGGCAGTTTTATTATTCAATTAACAGGAGAATATCTGTAAATTTCATTTTTTAAATTAATCAAAACTGAAATTCAAGACAGATGTTACTTGAATATGTATTGTCTTAATTGTTACAGACTTATTCAACAATGTTGTAACATTCCGCATTGCTGATGCTTCTATAAACCTCCCAACATTTGATATGGGGCATAGTGGAGATATTTACTTTGAGTTCAAGACCACTGTTGAGAATGCTGTCATCATCCATAGCAAGGGACCAACTGATTATATAAAAATCTCCATCATTGGTAAGGCCAAAGCAAATAATCTGAGAAATAATAATAATGATGATGATAATTCACAGTCATTAGGGTTCTGTAACCTGTGCAGTTGGCATTGCCATTGATGAGCTGTAACCAGGAACTTAGAGATCCATATTTGGTCAGATTTCATACATCATGCAGTGGGGACATTGTTACAAATGAATGGCTTGAAAACATATGTTTGATTCCAGTTTGTCTATACTGTTGCAAAATATGAAGACTTCCCAATTAGTGTTATTGTGATGTTAAAGAAGATACTTTCAGAAGGTTTTGTTGCACCATGTCACTCCACAGGTTTGAATTATTTTCTTCTTAATTAAGAATTGAAGTTCCAGATTTTTACATTCCCAAATGTGGCTTCTTGGCAGGTGGTGATCAGTTGCAGTTTCAGTATCAGGCTGGCAGTGGCCCACTTGGAGTGAGTGTGGATACTGCATACAGATTAGCTGACAACAACTGGCATTCTGTATCTGTGGAAAGGAACAGGTTGGTGTCAGATAAATAACAAGTTGGAAAATATATGCATAGCATAAAAGTTGCATTATGTTTGTTCTCGTTTGTTCATTTATCTCAGAAGCCCTAAGACAGACTTGAAATGAGTGCATCATTTTCTCTGCATTGTTTTTGATGCATTTCTTCTGAAAAGTATTTAGTGAGTTAATTCGAGATGCATGCAGAAATGTGTGTTAGTCTTCATGTAAAGTGAGAAACCTTTCTAGATTATACTAATCAGATTTTTACTATGGAACTTGTCTTACTGCTTTGTAGCATGTTCACAATGAGAAGTTCCAAAAATGTACCTAATGACTTTGTCATGCTTGTCTCTCCCATTTTATGCATGTAACAATTTGCAAACCACTGAATACATTTTAATTAACTTTATGTTGGAAAGTTTAACTAAGTTTTGTTGACATGATGTCATGTAGTGTCATAGGTGGGCACTGATATTTCAGAAGAACCTGTTACTTCCGTCTTTCTGGAAGAAGTGTCTGAAATAGTAAAGCCCCACATATATGTGGTGCTATCAAAAAGTTCCTAAAATTTGAATTTTGTGCACGAATGGTTATGAGTACATCGAAATACCACTAGGTGTCTCCCCACACACCCTTCTTGAATCAGTGTGGCAAACGGCGTAAAGTTGAGTGGTTGGGTTTATTGTTGGTGAACATATTTCCATTGTTGCGTTTCCGTGAGTGCGGTCTTGCAATGGCTGACCTGAGAGAGCAGCGTGTCTGTATAAAGCTTTGTTTTAAACTTGGGGTAACCGCTGCAGAAATGCACCAAATGTTGAAGCAAGCTTTTGGTGATAACAGTTCAGGCCAGACACAAACTTATGGCTGGTATAAGTGTTTCAAAAATGGCCGAACATCAACTGATGATGACAATCGTTTGGGGCACCCGTCAACTGGCACCAGAAAATGTCACAAAAGTTAGGGATCTGATACTGCAAGATTGTAGACTGACCATCCAAGACCTCTGTAACACCTTGGGACTAAGTTATGGTACATGTCAACGAATTTTGTCAGAGAAACTGAACATGAGGAGGAATGCGGCGAAGTTTGTGCCATGACTGCTGTAAAATGACAGGAGCAGCATCACTTGGAAGTCTGCAGGGAACTTCAACAACAGCTTCAAGAGGATCAAAACTTTCTTCCGAAGGTTGTCTCTGGTGACAAAAGTTGGGTTAATGGCTACGACCCTGAAATAAGCAGCAGTCATCGCAATAGCAGAGCCTTTCTTCACCTCGGCCAAAGAAACTCAACAAGTCAAGAGCAAAGGTGAGTGCATGTTGATCTGTTTTTTTTTTATTGACGGGATTGTTCATAAGGAGTTTGTCCCTCCTGGTCAGACAGTGAATAAAGAGTTCTGTTGCGATGTTCTAAGGCGTTTGAGGGAGGACATGAGGAGAAAATGTCCAGAGAAGTGGTGCACGAATGACTGGGTACTCCACCATGACAACACACGACCACATACAGCTTATATTCTGCAGGAATTTTTGGCTAAAAACAAGATGGCAATTGTTCCCCACCCACCATACTTGCCAGACTTAGCTCCATGCAACTTCTTTCTCTTCCCCAAGATGAAAATAAAGTTGAAGGGGCGAAGATTTGATACAGGTGAGGAAATTCAAGTGGAAACGCAGACAGTACTAAACACCCTAATAAAGAAAGACTTCCAAGACGCATTTCAGAAGTGGCAGAAATGCTGGGATCGGTGTATGCACTCCCAAGGGGACTACTTTGAATGTGATGGTGCAGAATGAGATCCAGGTAAGACGTAATAGTTTTTATTAATATATTTTGGGAACTTTTGGATAGCACTGCATAGTACAACAAGCCACATTTTACATTTTCTCTAAGAACATAATGCATCATCTAATGTTTCCAGTGTTCATTTATGTTTAATTCCATTGTTGTGCTGTGAAGGCCGACTCCCGGTAATATGTTAAAAGAGTATTTAACTTTTTGTATTTTAGGGGAATATGTTGGCTAGGATAGAATTAGTCTTGGGAAATACTTGTAAGATGTACGAAAGAGGATGTAAGAAGGGTTAAGAGACTTCAAGGAATTTCTGCGTGTGGAGTTAGACGGCTGTTAGCCTTTGACGTGTCGATGCCTTGTCAGCAGATTGACGTTGAATGTATATCGAACTGCTAACTACAGAATTTACACTTGAGTGAAGGGAGGGACATTTGCAGGTAAAAGTGTTAGCCAAATGGTCTAGCAGTAGAAGGGGTGTGTCCACACTAAGGATCCCAGCCAACCACTTGGGACAAGATGTCATTATAGGCGAGCTTACACCCTCCCCCCCCACGAAAGTAATTAGTTAGCATGAAGAAAGGTATATAACCCAGAGACCAAATTAGTATGGGGATTATTCAAACAGTAATTTTGGCCCGTTTGCGGCCGAAAGGCATGTCAGAATGGGCACCGACTAGACACTACAACCGCACACGGCTTGAACACTTCTCGCAACCGCTGTTCACCACTTCTCGTGACCGTTGCCTATTTATCTTTATGTTTATTTATTTGTTTGCCCGCTTCGGTAGAACACTTTTGACTCTTCTCAGGGTTGTGCCACGGTAATAACTGGGGCAACGCGGAGACTGCACATTTAAAACTAGTCCACTGATACAAATAAATACTCTATTTCTGCTTAATCACAATATTGTTTATTTCAGAATCAAACTATAACTTTATCGGCAAGTAGCGAGTAATGTGCCTATTTATCTTTATGTTTATTTATTTGTTTGCCCGCTTCGGTAGAACACTTTTGACTCTTCTCAGGGTTGTGCCACGGTAATAACTGGGGCAACGCGGAGACTGCACATTTAAAACTAGTCCACTGATACAAATAAATACTCTATTTCTGCTTAATCACAATATTGTTTATTTCAGAATCAAACTATAACTTTATCGGCAAGTAGCGAGTAATGTGCCTATTTATCTTTATGTTTATTTATTTGTTTGCCCGCTTCGGTAGAACACTTTTGACTCTTCTCAGGGTTGTGCCACGGTAATAACTGGGGCAACGCGGAGACTGCACATTTAAAACTAGTCCACTGATACAAATAAATACTCTATTTCTGCTTAATCACAATATTGTTTATTTCAGAATCAAACTATAACTTTATCGGCAAGTAGCGAGTAATGTGCCTATTTATCTTTATGTTTATTTATTTGTTTGCCCGCTTCGGTAGAACACTTTTGACTCTTCTCAGGGTTGTGCCACGGTAATAACTGGGGCAACGCGGAGACTGCACATTTAAAACTAGTCCACTGATACAAATAAATACTCTATTTCTGCTTAATCACAATATTGTTTATTTCAGAATCAAACTATAACTTTATCGGCAAGTAGCGAGTNCTAGCGGCAGGGACGTGTATATATATATATATATATATACACAGTGGTTGAGTAGAACAGGAGAAAGAGGAGACTAGCGACCTGCAACTGGGTGGAAAAGAGAGAGAAAGTTGAGGTCCAAGAATCGTCTAAGAAAGTGTAATGTGTAACCCGACACCAGTCAGCTCTTTGTGATATTACAAAAACGTATATAACTGTATATTGCTTGTTTATACTAATGTAGGGTAGCATAGGGTGAGGATGTGGGTTTCTGTTGTTGTGATTTCCTCCCTTACCACATTTCGCACCTGCGCCCTCCTGGCAAGTCTGGTGAACAGTGTGCCCCTAGCCAATGAAGCAACGATAGAGGAAGTAATTCAGTCGTTTCCTTAGCCCTACCCCTGTGACTGCAGTACAGAAGGTGACAGTGGGGATACCTCCACGGCCCCCGGTCACCACGGCATAACAGGTGGCATAACATCCATAAATATAATACACATGTATCAACAAAGCATGTGGTTACAGCAGTAATGAGTAATGATGGTTATTTACTGATGTATTATGGCAAACTGTAGTCTCTTGACTTTGCAAACACATTCCATTTTAGATTTTCTATGAAAGAATATTCTGAAGGGACTAAAGTAAGAAATATAATAATTCATTATATTAAGTACAGTAAAGTGGATTGAAGTGGTTACCTCTCAGTACACAAGCAGTAGAAGAGGACTCACCATCAGCGATATCAGCCATACTGATAATATGCCAAATCTGAGGACATGCCATGCTGTGTTGACTAGGGGCATAATCAGCATGGATCTTTGCTTACTTCGCAGTAATAACCTTCACATAGTCTAGGAAAAGTCAGTCTAATAGTTAACATATGAAAAGGGCATTGTTTTCTTGCACAAGAAAAAGAAGTTAATTTCCCTTCCAAATGCAGAGACAAACTCTAAGGTCACTCATTGTCACTTGACAGCTCTAAAGTACCTAAGAGTGGCATATTGTTGCTGTTGGATTCTGTACTGTCATCTTCACTGTCCAGATTAATGATTGCATAATGTTAGCAAGGCAGCCTTTTGTGGTGTATTTGTTCATCTGCTTTGTATGCACATTTACAGAGAGCAGCCCCATTCTTCTAGCCCAGAATCTTTTGAAGTTGTTTTAAAGACATCATATCTGTTTTGAACATGACATTTTCAGCAGTGATTCTTTTCTTTACTGTAGTCTAGATAATGTGGGACCCTCAACGTCTCACAACCCTATGGGCCTTCATGGCCTGTCACAGGGATAGCTTTACTCTACTTTTTTACTTACATTCTTTTTTAGCGTAATTTGTATTGGGATGCTAGAGTGGCTGTGTAAGAACAATATGGCCGTCACAAGTGAGGACTTTAATTTTATGTTCTTTGTACTGAGGCTTATATAGCTTAATGAGTTTGTACAGCTTTGCTTTTGTCATCTCCTCTATGTATATTACATCAGTTTTATGTAACCAGGTCAGTATTCCTTTGTGGGAACTTCCCACAGTCCAACAGACTACTCCTACGATCAGTCAGTCTCATATTTATACAGCACTCGCTGTTTGGCCCCCTGGAGATCAACGCAGCTGTTGGCCAATCAGCGCTCACAATCACTAGCTCTGCTCGGCGGGAGAGTGGAGTCTAGTTGGCCAGGCGTTGTGGTGTGCACGCTGGTGTAGTCTGCTGTCTTGGTGCTGTTACTGGAGAGATACGGCAGCTGCTGCTTCATGATATCAGCATAGCTACAACGTCTCTTGATTGGTGGACTGGAGAAGACTGGAGAAGACTGAAGATAGCCAGGTGTGAACCCTGCATTTTATACCATTACCGCTGGGTGGAGCTAGTGATTGTGAGCACTGATTGGCCAGCGCCTGTGTTGATCTCCAGGGGGCCGGACAGCGAGTGCTGTATAAATATGAGACTGATCATAGGAGTAGTCTGTTGGATTGTGGGAAGTTCTCACACCTTCATATCTCTTCTTTTCTTTGACCTTGGCTTGACCTTTGAATTCATGCTGTTGTACAGTGCATTGTTGTCATCAGTTACTGACCTTGGCTCAAGATATGGCTTAGCCTGTGTTCTAACCATGTATTTATAATTTGTGTGGTTCAAGTCATTGCTGTATAATTGTTACTGGGTGTTTTTCTATGCACAAAACCAAGCAGTAGACATGATCTCACCTTTGTGCATCATTGAACCAAGTGGATTCATCTGTTAGTGACCCCATCCAAGAACGGAATATTTTTTTGGAGTTCATGATGTTCATTCATTCATTCATTCATTCATTCATTCATGCCAAGAGCTGTAATTTAATGAGGAAGTCAAGGAACTCTGTGTTAATAACATATTTTTCCAGTTTTTTCAAAGTTGTATGCAAATTGAATAACTGTAGGAAAGGGAGAACTTTTATTAGAAATGGGGCCAGTTCACAGAATGTAGCATTAGATAGTTTGTCCACATATTTTTTTATGGAAAGGTTATGGTAAATGAATCTGCAGGAGCTGTACCGGCATTTAAATAAATCTTCCCTGTGGATGGGAATATCCATTAAAAGCTTTTCTGCAGAGAGATTTCTGATCCTAAGCTAAGGAAATTTTTAATATGAAAAATATACTATTAGAACTGAGAAAAATGGCCAAGGTAAGGTAAAAAGGTAGAGCTATTCCTGTAACAGGTTGCAGAGGCTCATAGGGTTGTGATATGTCAAGGCTTCCACATTTTCTAGGCCTTACATGCTGGCAACCCTTTACCTGCAGAATGATTCCTGGTACCCCTTTCTGTTCAAGGCTGAGTCAACCCCATGGCTATAGTGCCACTGGAAGGATTAGGTCAATTGAAAGATCCAGTAATCAGGAATCGAACCTGTGACTTTCAGGCTTGTAACATAGTGCATCAACCAAGTACGCTACCACGTGCCCATTGGTCTAGAACTAAAACACAAAAGGTGTCATCAGTACCACAGGAGATTTTATTGTTGAGTATTTATGGGCTTTTCCTCTTTATCATGTATGATTGATTGTTTTGCAGGAAAGAAGCTCGAATTGTCGTTGATGGTGCACTGAAGGCTGAAGTGAGAGAACCACCTGGACCTGTGAGGGCACTGCACCTTACATCAGATCTGGTTGTTGGTGAGTAGAGTATATAGTCAAATAGTAAGCAGTAGCAGCAATACTAATGTATTGCTGTATGTATTGATGAAAATGTTGAAAAAGTAATGTAGTGAAGCACAGCGCTTTTCATTTTCATATTTTCGGGGATAAATATAGTAGGAGCTTATTGTATTCACTTCCTTTGTATGTAAGTTACTCTGCTGTTAAGTTACAGGTTGCCTTTTTACTTCAACCCCCACACTCTTTCAATCACCATGGTAAATACCTCGTGTGCTTGCAGCATTCGGTCCTCATTACAGTTGTCTAACACTGACTGTAATGTTGCCATAGTTCATGTGTTCAGGGTGAAGTCTTAAGTTGAAAGTACTAGAATAACTCCTTGGTCTGTAGTCCGCAAGCGTACTATACCAACTGAGCGACCGTTGCTTGTCGGTGAAGTTAGTGCCAACTTTTGTGGATAGAGGGTGTCACATGGTCAGCGCAACAGGTCTCAGTTTTCTAGACCAGAGACGTTATTTCCTTGAAATAGCTCCTCAATTATCCTCACGAGGCTGAGTGTACCCTGTTCCATACCCACTACTACACAGAAAATTTGGTAGCACCGGGAATCGAAACCGGGACCTCTGGATTGGTAGCCGGGAACTCTGACCACTAGACCATAGAAGCAGTCAAACTACTGGAATATACAGAATAAAATGAAGATGGTAACATGTAGGAAGACTAATGTCAGGAACAAAAATATTATAGTTGGAAAACACTGGAAGCATCCTTAGTGAAAGCATATTCAGATAAATATTCCAGATGTTAAATGGGGCTTCGTCATCTATACATGTGGTCCATAAGTATAAAACTATAGGTGTAATTACTGATTAACACTTGCAGAATCATCCACATTATTGAAGAATGAGCAGAGTGAAACAAGAAATGAAACGTGTGTGCGATTATGACTGTACATATTTTCATTCATGTTTTTTTTTGAGTTAGTGCAGTCTACTGTTAGTGTTGTAATGAGATTCACAATAATGAGTCCATTTCATTGCTTCATATATAATTATTCACAGGATCAACTGTGGACTATCGTGATGGTTTTGTGGGCTGCATCAGAGCACTTCTGCTCAATGGACAACAGACTGACCTACGGGGTCATGTTAACAGAGGACTCTATGGTAAGAAATAAAACTCTGTTATAAGAAAGACCTGATAAGAATCAAAACAATATGTTTTTTTATGTATATCATCATTTATAAAGTGTTTCTACTGAGCGACCTGTGTTTCAATATGGGGAAATCTTGTTGATATTTATGTTTCGGCATCTGACACTGAATATGAGATATTCAATAGAGGAATCTAATTCTTGCTTACTTTTTATGCCAGATCATCTTAAGATCCATAGTTCCAACAATTGTCTTTTAATTCCTAGTGTTTAATTTACATGCATATAGGTCTGGTTTCATTCCAAAGTGAGCAATAACAGTCATGGCAATGGAAAATACAACCTTTTGAGGAAAGTGCTGATGTATAAGTTAATAAAAATGTAGCTCTGATTCTTGCAGAAATTTGAAAATACCCACATAAGGTTTGAGGATGTTATAGGTTGTAACTGCAAAGAGTACCATCTTGTCAGAATGGACACCATCTAGTCTGTCTGAAGTTTACTGGTGTTTCAGAGAAATGTCAGGAAACTTCTACAAAACTGCATGGCATCACATCTGAGAAGATAATGCTGTTCTATAAATATACATTTTCTTTCTGAGTATTGGGACATGACCTATATATTAGGGCTTGTTGTGTATGCAGTATTTATGTCTTGTGCCAGGTTGTGTGATGAGGGACAAAAGAATAAAATTCTTCAGAACATTTCTTGTTTTTTAGCTTCTGAGTTTGTAGGCAGATGTCACATTGAACGCATATATTCCTTCTGACATCAAAACAATAATAGAAATGCACTCAGTATAAGAATAATCTCTTAACGTGATAAATTAACTCACGGAATGGTTGTTATTGTAGGTGTAAGTCCAGGTTGCATTGGTAAATGTGAAAGCAATCCCTGTCTCAACAATGGTACGTGTCTTGAAGGCTATGACAGTTTCAAATGTGACTGCCGATGGACAGCTTTCAAGGGGCCTATCTGCGCAGATGGTATGTAATTCATAACCTTTCAAGCGGTTACTCGTGTTTGAGTTGTATCTTCACAAGTGAACTATTGTTTACTATTTAAAATGTTCTGTATTCCACAGAAATTGGAGTTAACATGCGGCCTGAATCTATCATAAAATATGATTTTATGGGCAGTTGGAGGTCAACCATATCAGAAAATATTCGTGTTGGATTCACAACTACCAACCCTAAAGGTTTCCTCCTCGGATTTTCATCAAATATTTCTGGAGAATATATGACAATCATGATCTCTAACAGTGGTAAGTTGTCTTATTTTGTGTTATAAGGAACGTTATCTTTAAAGTATGATGTAATAGAATTAATTTGTTGTTGACATTGTGTGCACAATGAAGTACAGAGGCTGCACACCCTCCAAGGCACATTGTATTCACTGCATTGTAGTTAGATTCACAATGAATGCTTGGGCATATCACAAGTTTAGCTTGTCCAGTAGTTACGAATATTGAGGTATCTTTATGAGGCAACCATCTTCATAAGAAATTTATATGTTGGTGAGCACATTTCATAATCACAGATTATTTTAATTAGTTGAGCTCAGACAACCACTCATCTCTGTACAGTCATAATCCTAAACCTCTTACACAGGTATGCATACTATGAAGAAAGGAACTATATAATTTTATTAAATTTGGGCCTGTGTTGCATTTGTATGCATGTGTTTGTGCACTGTTTTTACCCCAAAAATTATGTCTGAAATTTAAAAATGTTACTTTTTGGAGTATAGCTTTACATAGTGTAGTATCAGTACCCACGCATCCAGTTGATTCCTTGACAGAACATGGAAACAAAGAGGCCCATGATAAAATTTTGACCTCAGTTTTCATGGAACATGTGATCAGAGTTCACTGAAATGTGGCAGCATTGTATTCACCCCTACAGGCTTCACTGTGTGATTTCTTGTTGAATATTGAGACAGAAATTTCCTGTGACACTATTTCAACCAGCATATAATTTTTTCAGAAAATGTTTTTAAATACATTATGGCAACTCAGTACGGATATTTGTAATTATGTACTGCATGCACTTCTGTCATGAACAGTGAGATGAAAATGCTGCTTAGTAGCATTTCAGTTGATGATTTGGTGATGTGGCACAGTAGCATAGACACCACAATACAATTCCTTGATAAACATTGAAATGAAAATCTTCCTTGATGGACTCTACCACACAGTTCATTAACACTGAGATGAAAATGCTCATTGACAGTATTTCAACCAGTGAATAATGTTTTTCAGAAAAGGAATTTAAAATTTCCTATACCATGTTGCCACAGTGAATTTTAGTTGATCATATTTTTCCCATAAATTATGCATCAGTTGAAATTTTATCAATGGTGAAATTATGATGCTGAATTCTGCATCAGTTATGCAAGCAAGTGTGATAAGTTCTGTTTTTCTTTAAGAACAGATGGTGTTGTTGGTTCAAGAAATATTGCTGTATTCTGGTTAAGGAACTGTGACTACCCACCCCAAAAATGTTTATTATTTGTAAGTTTTAGTTCATATCGTTGAATTGTGGTGTAGCATGGCATACTGGTGCCAGAATAGCTAGTTGTTTCAGTTGCCAGACAAATAACTGGATGAGCCCCCCCCCCAATGTTACACATCCCAACATCGCAAGTGCTTTTATTTAAATTACACTGCACCTGGAAAAGTGTTTAATTTGAAGGATATTTGTATGAAGCTGAATATGTGAAATGAATTCCAGTTCTGCCTGCATACATACATAACAACAAATCTCTTGCCATCTATTTTAGTTACTTGCAGGGTTCACTGTATTTGCTTACAGTTCCGTTCTTTACCACTTCCAGGTCACTTGCGAGTGGTGTTTGATTTTGGGTTTGAACGTCAGGAATTAATATTTCCTGGTAAGCATTTTGGGTTGGGTCAGTACCATGATGTTCGCATCACTCGGAAAGATTCAGGTTCCAAGCTCATCATGCAGGTAAGGAAAATTGTAACCATATCTGCAGTTTAAACAAGTTATAAAATGTGCATTTTGTTTTTCTCTGCATTGTTTTCTGCAATATATATTTAATGAATAACACTTGAGGTGCTTGCAGAAACACTTGTAAGTTTTCATGTGAAGTGTCTGTTATTGTGGTTCAGTTTTAATTGGAAATAGAATATGCAAACACGTGTTGTAATGAAGTTTTGCTGTGAAATTAAGATGCAAGTTACCATCAAAGTATATCTTCTTTATTGCTTAGGATGACTACATGTTGCCAAAACTGCAACATATTTTGGTCTTAGAAGACCGTCACTGGTAAAAGGAAACTTTACAAATTTCTGAGACACAAATTTTCCACAATATGAAAACTGATATTATGTTCGAATGTGGCAGTGTATGTTGTAGTTATTGCATGAGCATGGGTTATAGTGTTTTGTACCGTGCTGTGTGATGCTCTCTCATACTAACTTTCTGCTGGTGTTGATAAGTTGGAGCTCTGTGGCTTTGTCATGGTGCCTGGTAGGTGAAGAAATTTCATGTAGTAGTATGTAGAGAAAATTAATCCTGTCAAAGAGTTTTACTGTATTTCCAAATAGTTCTTTTTAATATTATCCAACTGTGTCTTGGTTTTCCACTTGGTTGTGTATATTTCTTGACCTATGCAGTGATACTTGGGTTGGACTTCTATAATTTATAGTTCAGTTGTAACAGGATTAGAAACTGTATAAGTTATACTTTCTTGATCATGTAATTTCCTAAATTCTCGCTTAAGTTCTTGTCTCTTACATTTGGTTACTTTTGCTTCTTAATATTCTATTTGAGAAAAAACTTCTTCAGTTACGTAGCCATACAAAACAGCAGAGTATCCGTTTTACAAAAGCGCACGTGATTGCATGGGTGCACACAAATATTTTAAAATGTAACCAAGGTCGGAGTAGTTTCTGACAAGAGCTTTGGTAATTATATAGTAGAATACTGATTATCCAAATTGCCAATTAACTGAATCACCACCACCACCACCACCAAGGAAGGTGTCAGCTAAACAAACATCACTGTTGGACTTTTTCAAATAGAGCATTTGAAAGTATTAATTTGTAATCGCTTTTATTAATTTTTCACATTTTACTCGTTTTAAGTGTTCTTTTTTAATTTTTATTATTGTAATAGTACAGTAATTTTTTTCTTTGGGACTTTCAATTTGGGCCTTGGCCTGCCTCCATGAAACTCCCTATTTCACTTTGGTTTTTCTAGATCTTAGACATTCGGTAGGAGTCCTTGGGTGGGTGATCAGCTCATCACAAGGCCTCTACTCATACACAAACACAGAAAATGCGCATGCACACACACACACACAAACACTGAACATCCATGCTCTGAGTGGGATTCGAACCCACGGTCCTGGTTTCCGAGCGAGTGAAGCCATTGCATGCCCTAGACTTCTCAGTTACCATGACTGGCAGTACAGTACATTATAATAGTGTCTTTCATAGATAAGAGTTTAATCCAATTATCCAAACCACCTTTGTCAGAAATTAATTTGGATAATCTGCATTCTACTGTACTTGTAAGGTTACAGTTGTGCCCCCCCCCACCGCAGGGTTGAACTTTTTTTTAGATGCAGGGTGCAGCAGAAATAGTGAAGTGTTTTCAAAGGGGATTGTATATCAAAAAATATTTCATTTTGAGCACATATGCTCTTTACATCGTCTTACATAACATTTTCCACAGCATTTTATTTCTTTGATCATACATGTTTGGATGATCCTCATCGTGTTCATTGCACAGGTCCATATAATTTTAGAAGCCCTGCATCACTTCTCAGGGTGTTTCTTCTGAAACATCGATGATTTATTTCCCGATTCTTTCTTTGGCCTTTTAAGTATCCTCAGAGAGAGAGTTGTGTTTGGCGAGAAAGTGGGTTTGGTCAGATCATCACAAAAAATCATCTACTGTGAAAGCAGATTATGAAGTGCAGCCTTGCTATTTGCAAGGGAGATTTCTGCACTCCCAGCATGAGAAATGTTTCAATTATGACTGGAATGATGCAGAGCAACTCTAACCACCTGCCTACATTCTTCTTAAAAGAAAAATGGGTCCAGCGGTCACAGTAGATGACACTACACACCAGATAGTAACTTTCTGGTTGTGCAGGAGACATTCAGGAAGTTTGTGTTGATTCTGAATGGCCCAGTAGCACAGGTTATGCTTATTAGTGTTGCCAGTGAAATAGTGTGTCATCACTCATTAGAATGTTGTCTGGTGTGCTTGGATTACCACCCATCAGTTCCAGAAACTGATGATAAAGCACAATCTCTGTCATGGTTACTGAGCTGTGGAAGTTCAAGTCACCATGAATGATTCACCATGCACTTAAGTCAGACATGCATGCTGCCTGAGCCTGATTATGATGTGTCCTCCTTGGACTGTTGTGACAGACACCAGAACTTGGACCTTATTCTTTATGTTCTTGTGGAAGCGAATGTCCGCATGTGGCTTCTTACATGTGATGGATCCTTCCTCACGCCTGTCTTTTAGCCACAAACAGATTTTGTTTGGAGAATTGACCTATTGATTAAACTCTTGTGGAACTAATTGTCAATTGTCAATAGTGTAACGGACCAAAATGAAACAATTCAAAATCTTGTGGAACTCCTCACTGCCATTCTGTATGGTTCCTGTCCGAATGAAAAGCTCTACAGAATACATATTCTTTCACTGTCCAATGATCCATGATTAACAGAAGTGCTGAGCCACTACTATAGAGTAACTTCCCATACTCTTATCATACCCTAACATGGAAGTGCATAATTCAATTTTTAAAATGCCTTACAGTTTCTGCTGCATGCTGTATAAGCCAGATTAAAGAACATTGAGCTGGGGCATGTATGTGTATTTGGAAATACATGGTATTCATTTCTAGGCCAGTTTCTTTACTGGTCTGCTAAAGATATTTGTATATCTATGTTATTTGTGTATCTTAATAACATCAATGGCTTGTACAACTCACGTGTGCTTGTGCGCGTGCACACACACAGAGTGTTGTGCCCTGATAGTCATTTATTGTAAATGCCCATTCTACTGAATCACTTATTCCTTTCCAGGTTGACAATTATGAACCACAAGAATTTTACTTTAATATCAAGGCTTCCGCAGATGCACAGTTTAACAATATCCAGTACATGTACATAGGACGCAATGAATCTATGACAGAAGGTTTCATAGGTTGTATATCACGTGTGGAGTTTGATGATATCTACCCACTTAAGCTGTTGTTCCAAGAAAATGGCCCAGCTAATGTGCGTTCCTTAGGAAAACGTAAGTCATAAAAGTTACAGATTTATTAAAGTATATGTATAATTACTGTGTAGAAGACTCTGGTAAATGAATACCTTTTCTATTAGTAAATCTCTCCTCCCATTGTACACCTATTTCTAATCAAGAACAGATGTCACCATTGGTTTGCCTCAGCAGTCTCACAGCCGCCTTCTTCTGCTCCAGCATCTTCTACATCATAGTTTCTCTACTTCTCATGGATGTTAGTTCTATCTTAGTAACCTTAATCACTTCTGATCATTTCTGCTGTCTGCCTCAGCATGTTCAAGTGTATCCTTTACTTCTTGTGGAATAACCACAGTCCATTTCCGGGCCTGTCTTTGTGCATATCAGCTTTCCTATTTTGCATCAAATACTCCAAAGCAAAGGCCTTTTACTGACTTGTCATATATATATATATATATATATATGCATAAAGCCTCTTTCCTTCATGTCAAATAAGTAGGCTTTCAGTTTATATTGAATTCTGTGTGTTTTTCCTGTTATCTTGTTCAGTCACATCTCTCTACAGGAAAGTCTGATATAATATCTTGAAATTCTTCAAGTTTCCACTTTTCCCCCCAGAGTTACTTTCACTAAAATGGGTCTTCTCCCTCTACATTTTCCAATTTTGTGGCCCTTGCCTGTGTCTGTCACTCACAGAAAATCATCATCCTTTTTATTAATTTTCCTACTGTAGTTAACAGAGGGGCACTATGCTACATGTCAGAGGGTTGTCTGTTCGATTCTCAATGAGGTCAGTGGATTTTTCAGTTGACATAATCGTTTCAGTCACACTGCGGCATTGGGGTCGAGTCAGCCTCTAACAGAAATGAGTGCCAGCATGAGTACCAGAAGTTTCCTGTGGGGAGTAAAGGGCGGCTGGCACATAAGGCTGACAGCCTCGTTGCCATCTTTGAACTGTTTGTCTAGAAAATGTTGGAGTCTCAACGTTTCAGCCCTATGGGCCTTCACAACCTGTTACAAGGATAGCTTTACCTTTTTACTGTAATCGTCAAATCCTTATCCAGATCTGTTACTCTGGGTATAATGATATTACTATTTCTAGTCTGTTAATCAATCCAGCCACTATATTACTCATATTTTGCAGTCCCTGTCTCATATCAACATATCACTCTTTCATGTCCCATGCTTTGTTACTTATTTGAAGATTTTCTCCAAAATTGTTAAAGGAGATCTCAAACTCACTGATCTCAATAAAAAATGACTTTTTGTTTCATATTTTTGCATTGATAATGCAGCTGATACCCAATCTCGTTTTCCATATGCTCAGGAATTAAATTCAACTTCTCCATTGATTAAGATCACTACAATCACTATAGCACAGAACATTCTGAATTTAAAATCATCTGTCATACTATTTTCAGCAGTATACTTCCTTTCCTTATAATAGCATCTATTGAAAACGTGTCCCCTGTGGCTGCTTGTAAAATGTTTAGTTATGTGTTAATCAGTGTATGTTAATGAGCGTAAAAAAATAGATGCGTACAGTGTCCGCTGCATACAGGACATAAAAGGTGTGCCTCATTAATTTCAAGCATTTTTTGATATGGGATGGTGTACATTTAATGATACTGAAGAAACAATTTATATTATTGTCATGTGTTGCTGTGTGTCACGCGCCAAATAATCTCACATAGGTCAAGGATGTAGTGAATATTTACTCTCCTTCACTTTTACACTTATACAATTCACAGTTATATAATCTTAATCTTATACAATCCAGTATCATCTCTCGGCAAATGCTGGGCTGCAACTCTCTGTAATGGCGACTGTCTCAAGACTTCAACGCATAGTGCATACTCAATCCTCAATCCTTGCTGAATAGTGTTCCTCCTCCTTATATAGGCTTGGCACGGACCACATAGAGAACACATTGTTGCTTGGCAACAGATATCAGGTATTGTTGTCAGATGTGTCTACCTACGCATTGCCTAGCAATAGACTCTGCTGTTGCATGACGTCACAGCCTAGTGGGGAGGGGTGTTTAACGAGCATTGTTACACAGTGAACACTCATTGCTATGGATATTCTTACGCAAAGGTCTGAACAATTTCTATAGTTTCGTTGCTCAGCGATGGATGACGTACACGCCACATTATGTAAAGTAAGAATTCCGATTGGTCATTGATTCATTCATCAGTAATCTGTCAAGACGACAGGTACACAGTCTCTTCCAAAACAGTTCCTCCACTTGATGCAATCTAGAGCTTTCTCCTTCAAATTAAAATATCCTCCTCTGTCCCCAAGGTCATCCAGCATCTTCTTACGTCTTCTTCCTCGTCTTCTGGTCACTTCTATCCGCCCCTCTGTCTTTCCTTCAATAACTTCTTTTAGAAGGCAGTTACCGCGTAATATATGACCACTCCAGTTAGCCTTCTGTTCTCTTCTTTCATGCAATATATTCCTCTGCTCACTGACTCTAAATAACACTTCTTCATTTCTCACATAATCGATCCAAGTGATCTTCTCCATCCTTCTCTAACACCACATTTCGAAGCTTTCCAGGTGTTTCTGGGCCACTCCCCAGTTTCATATATGGTGTTTATTAGTTTTGTCAGTGTTTTCAAACCCACTTCTCCCAGTAACTTAAGCACATCTCCAGGTACATCATCATCTCCTGTAGCCTTTCCATTCCTCATGTCCTTAATAGCTTTTTCCACCTCACTTTGTAAAATATATGGTTCTTTCTCATCTGTATCTACTTCTTCTTCCGGTTCCATTTCCAAGGTTTCTGGTCAATTAGGTCAATCATATAATTCTGTAATATAATTTTCCCAAATTT